GGAATGATAGATTCAATCAGGGACAAAAACGGGGACGAAAGTGGCCACAAGAATATCAACACTAGTGCTGATCTTGGTAGCCGTAGCCACTGTAGAAGCAATTAAAGTACCAGTTATAGGACTAGAATTACCCGTGACAACAACGGTAGCTGTGGTTTTGGTTCTAACTCGACCTAGCAATTATATCGCGATAATTAGCGTTAGTCGTATGCAAAGCAGTAGTTTGTGTTTACAGATACCGCAAATATAGGCAGTTGCGTCTTCCTATGGACTGGGCTGTGGGTCGCGATTTTCTCAGTCAGGCTTTGGGAACTGGGCTCAGCCTTGACTTACTTTCGCCTGATGTGTCAACCGGTAGCCCTTTCGCAGAGCGCCAGACTCGTTAGCCGTTTCAGGAATTGGCAATTCAAGCGGACATACGAGTCCAAGAAATTAATTGAGAGGGAGATTCGATCGCTAGTACAATACTTTTATTTACTTGACGTTTCGACGTCCATTGCGGATTCTTCATCAGATACCTGAGTGAAAAGCACTAACAGAAGTGGGTAACACATGCACAGGAATTTGCAGTATTTATAGGACGAAATCATTACTGCACACGTATGAAGAATAACGACGATTAACGATAATTTCCCTCTTGTGTGTTGATTGCCTGCATGCGGGCCCTGCCTTGCTGAACTTTCATCACGCATGGTGGAATTGGACGTGATGAGTGCTCGGTCATCTGTTTCCCTGCTACTGACGTAAGACGACGCTGTGGCCTGTACGTTCTCCAAGTGGTGACTTCCTTTGGCCAATTTGAGCCTCGCACCGAATATGGATTGGGCAAGTCGTTGCACTTGTTTATGGACTGGGGGTCCGTGAACCATGACTCAAGTAGCTCTTGGCTCACACGATTGTCACCTTTTGCTAGAATTTCGGGCAATTATCGTTAATTGCCGTTATTTGTCACACGTGTGTAGTACTGGCTCTGACTTATAAATACTGAAAATTACAGTGTATTGGTTACCCGCTTCTGCTTTCTGCTCATGTATCTGATGAAGAATCCGCGACGGATGTCGAAACGT